GGAGCCCGGGAGGTTTTGCATCCTTCCATTCCTCAGCCGCAGCCAAACCCTGGAAGATGGGGACAGTGGAGGTTCCAGAATTTCTATGTGGGTTTTAGGGGCCGCCATCTAGTGGGAAGGGGCCTCAAGTGCTCGTCCTGTAGCCTGTTCGCAAAGCACGGGACTCCGATTGTCTGTGCCAAAAGAAATAAATACTCAGGCATGGTGGAGGACGGAAGGGCTTTCTTCTGGATGCTTTTCACCCGCCAAAATAAGTGTCCCATCCCTCTGCCACCCCCGACCAGCCAGACAGCCCAGACTGGGGCGGCACATTGACTTGTCCTGTGCTTGTGAGCGCCCGAGAGCCAGCGCCTGGTTTCAGATTCAGTCTCCAGTGCAGTCTAGTCGCCAGACTTTGGGCCAAGTTAGCTCACCTCTGAGTGTCTGAGTTTTCCCATCAGTAAAGCTGGGGTGATAACGGTGCCTTCCCACAGGATTCACATGAAGAACGAGTTAATGTGTGTACAGTAGGTAGATTGGTTGCTGCCACATCTAGTCACTGGATAAATGGTAGCAATTATTATCCAACCTTAGATCTCCTAAACATGGCCCCAGACAGGAGCGGTCGGCAGGGGTGCAGTACTGCTCTTGGACTGGTACTTCTGTGCCTCCAGCATTCAAACTCCAACCCATCCCTCACCCTCACCCTCCCACCTCCTACCAGTTCACATGTGCTCTCTTTATCTGGCTAAACTGAAAAGCCAAAACACTGATCAAAGGTCCCGTATATCCATACTTCTAATATCTGCCAAACAGAGGAACCATCTCTCTTCTGAATTTTCTCCTGTAAGCCCCTTGGCTGCCCACGTGGCTGGCTAAACTATCTTTGTATCCTTGTCAGAGACCCAAATACAGTGCATTGCACACAGTAGGAGCTCTGTAAAGTTGTGCAACCCATTCCGTAAGTTTGTTTCTCCTAGCCTAATAGGTTCCCTCTATCTTGACCTCCCCCCCCCTTTTTTTAGAACAAGGATTGCACAGGAGGTAGGGTCCCAGCCTTCTATTTCCACCTAAGCTACACATATAGTCAGTACTGGCTAGCAGTTTATATGACACCTTCCTTTAAGGTCATTTGAAATTTTGAAATAAATATTAGTTCTGTGAAACAAAACCATGATAGCTTTAAAATGTCCTTTGGCAAACTAACCCCTCCTCTGGAGATTTTCTGAAACACAAGGGTCTTCCTTCCCAGTTCCTCCCCAATTCCTGACCCTGCCCACTAAGAATCATTGATCCAATCATCAGGACTCTCTGTGCTGTATCTATGAAGCCCCCCAACCCTGACTATTCCCTTAACTTCAGCCCCATGCAACAGAGTAATAACTGCCTTGAAAGAGAAACTGCTTGATAGCAGTTCTCAGACTTGATAGTGGATCAAAATCTCCCAGAGGGCTCCTTGATACGGAGTGCTGGACCCCACACACAGAGTTCCCATTCAGCAAATTGAGGACAAGGCCGGAGAATTTGTGTTCTAACAAGTTCCCGGGGGATGCCGAAGCTGCAGGTCTGGGGGCCGAACTTTAAGAAGCTTTGGTGCAGAGGAAGGTCAGGCAGGTAGGTTCACAGTGCAGTTTAACTGGTTTAGAACCTTCATCTCTTCAGTAACCAGAGCTGCCAGGCTTGAGTGACCGACACACTAACTCAATTCACCAGAGATTTTCTGATTAAGTGCCCATTTATGCATTTGCATCAAACTTGTAATTGCCACAGGGACCTGGTCAACACATTTTTCCCCAGGGCCACTTTATGTGGAAGCCATATCCTGAGAGGACAAATGCCCGCCTGTGGCATCCACACCTACCATGCCACCATGGCAATGGTGTCAGAGCTGAGACTGGACAAACCCTAGCTCCCTGGCTGTTCTCCTACCAGGCTCCATGCAGCCAGTGCCTCTTCTGTGGACACTGTCTTACTTCTGATTTGTTGAAAGCATTCAGTAAGCCACTGCTTTCCTTCCCACTTCATCTCAGACACACTCCAGCCTTCTCCACTGGGTTTGGGTGTCCCATCAGCCACACGTTTACAGAGCTGCTTCTTAGAGATGCAAAAAGCAGAGACTTTTAAATAACCCCTTCATTCATCCTTTTAACATTCACTAGGTATTCATTAAGTGTCTACTTACATGGCGGGCCTCTGTTTCTGGGCTCTGAGAAACAGTAGTGAACAAAACCAGGAATTTATATTCTGGTGAGAGAAGACAGACAGTAAACAAATAAGAATGCACAGGATATTAGGTGGTAAGAGGTGCTATAGCAGAGCAGAAAGTAGGGAAGGGGGACAGGAAGTGCAGTGTTTGCAACTTTCAATAGAGCTGTTTTAGAGAGTGGGGTTCTCAGCTCTGTCCCTGGATTGCTGTCTGACTTTGGACAAGTCTTCTAATCTCATAGTCTCTCTCCTCATTTGCAAGATGCAGATTATACGTTTGAGGATGATCGGAGATGATCATGCAACATTGACATATTTCTTTTTCTTTTCTTTTTTTAAATATATCTTTATTGATTTCAGAGAGAGGGAAGGAGAGGGAGAGAGAGATAGAAATAGAAACATCGACGACGAGAGAGTCATTGATCAAGCCCGCAACCCGGGCATGTGCCCTGACCGGGAATTGAACCCTGATCGCCTGGATCCTAGGTCAACGCTCAACCGCTGAGCCACACCCGGCCGGGCTATTTCTTTTTATTTATTTGATAAATGCCTACTATGTGCCAGGCACTGTTCCAAATACCTTACTTAACCCATTGAACTAATGTTAGTTCTTTGCCTTCCCCACCTTCCAGAGTGACTCTCTTCTAGTTAGGTGAATTCATCTATTATGTGTTGGTTCTTAGGTTCAACTTCAGCTTCAGGTTCTTGAGATTTTCTGTGGCATCCTCTGTGCAGAAAGTTGGCTCCTTCTCTCCTTCTTCCCCCTGCTTCAGACACCTCCAGTGTCATGTCTCTAAGTTTTCCTGGGGTGGACTCCCCTGCCTGATCTCAGTGCCACAGTAGCCATGCAGCATGTTCGTGTTCATGTTCCATGCTTCACAAAAATGAAAAGGGTACCCACCACCTGTCAGGCTCTGGGATAGGCCCAGAGTGAAGGAAACCAAGATCTTATTCATGGTAACAAACATGAGAATAGAGACAGAAACTTAACAAGTCAACAAATACAGCACCAAAATAAATTCAGAGAATGGTAAGTGCTATGAAGAGGGCAAAGCAAAGAGTGATAGCAAGTTGCCCGGGAGATAAGGTGCTTCAGTAGATGACGTGGTCAGAAAAGTACTCCCTGACTGATCATTGAACAAGATCTAAGATCTAAACAAAGAAAAGGAGCAAGCCTTATGGAGCTCTCAGAAAGGGGCATTCTAGGCAGTGGGAACACCACGTGCAAAGGCCCTGAGGCAGGAACAACTTGGCACACTCCAGGAACAGAATGAAGGCCAGTGTGGCTACAGTGTAATGAGAGAGAACAGGGGTTGGAGATGACGTAGGATTGCTGGGCAAGGGCCAGATAAAGTAGGACATAGGCAGGAAGTTTGGATTTTTCTCTAAGTCTTTGTTACTCCTAGTGTGGTCCAAGATCACTGCATTGCCTGGGAGCTTGTTAAAAATGCAGCATCTCGAGCCCCTTCCCAGATCAACTGAATCACAACCTGGATTTTAGCATGAACACCTTTTGATTTGAATGTATGTTAAAGTTTTAGAAGCATAACTCTCTAAGTACTGTACATGGAAAGAAAGCTACACTCCTTGCCAGGGAAGTGTTTTGAAAAGATCCCTCTGGCCACCATGTGGAGAGCGGATGGTAGAGAGGCAGGGCAGAAACAGGGGCCTGGTTTCTAAGGCTGCTGTTGTGGCCAAGGCGAGGAGCAGGAGCG